TGACCCAGTAACCCGTTCTGAAGCAGCCCCCTCCTCCTCCCGTCTCCCTGCAGAACTGCAGCTCGATCGCATCTTTTTTTATTTTTTTTCCGTCGTCCTGAACTTTTTGCTGCTCAACAAATAACTTTGGGCCTCAGTCAGAAAAAACTAGAGTTTTATGCTTTTGTCCAGAGAGGAGGACGAAACGGTGGATTTATGTCTCCCCCCGCACGCATTTCCTCCTCGCGACGCGGCGTGCATCAAATCAAACGTCTTTTAAAAAGAATAAATGTAGCAGATACTTTTTACCATATCTTAAGATCGACTTGGCCTAACAACAAGATTTGAAAACTGGTTTAAAGTTCGTAGTCTCTGCTTTTTACTCGAGAGTCAGAGAGGGCGGATCTTTACAGGTAGAGTTTTTTCTTTCTTCCTAAACTTTATTTAGGTCAGCCAGCATTGACAACGCTCTGTGGGTGATGTAATCAGCTCCGCAACACAACGAATCGATAATAAAATTCGTTGTTGCAGCCCTAAAATAAACAAATTAAATTAAAATTTTACTCTGGGAGAAACAAATATTTATTGTTTTAATTTCCTGAGAACTGATTGGCTGATAAGTTGTTGATTTTTACATGTTCCATTATCTCAGAATGTAGGTTTTCAGTTTACGTTCTGGAAAGAAAACTAGTTTTGTGACACTGAAAACCTGGAGTTGAGCCTGGTGCTTCACTCAGTCACTGGTCAACTGATTCCAGATGAGGCCCCAATAACAAAGCAGCCCCCACTCGGCCCTGATGAATAAAGGGTTAYGTGTGTCCTTACCCTCGTCTCTCAGTGTGAATCGGCCCATCTGCGGGAAATCTTTGAAGGTCTCTAAGCAGATGGTTCCTGCTGCCCGGAGCCTGGCAATGCACACCTGGTCCTGTTTGACAAAGCGAGGCCGCGTTTTGCTTTTGTCTCCTGTCTTCTTGTCAACCAGACAGATTAATGCCTGAAGTCAGAATATGAAGAGGTTCAATACAGGCCAGCAAATAAAACTAAAAAAATTTAATTCAGTTTGAATCAAAGCCGCAGCTGTACGGAAGGCTGAACTTTTGCTGCCTTGCCTTTTGGTAGCAGCAGAACAAACTTACAGTGATCTGCACTTCTTCAATGCAGGTGTGGATGTGGAGGACTGCATTGTAGCCAGGACAAATGATTGATTTGTGCTCTATGATGACAATCTGACAAAGAAAATTATAAAAATGAAATAACATCACTTTACAAGAAAATAAAAAAGCATCCACAACTTAGCTAAAGACTATGGTTGTGTCTCAATTCATGGGCTGGGTCCTCATGAGTGCGCATTTGTCGGCCGCACGTCACTGTCCCGCGTGGAGGACCGTCCCCGAGGCTCCTCATCATGCGGCCGACAATCTCTTGAAATCCGAAGATGCATCCATGTATCCTCACCGGCCGAGGATATCCCAGGATTCAATGCACGGGCAGCAAAATAAACAGAGATACGAAGACGGTGGAGTTTATTATTTTTTTTAAAGAGTCAGCGTAGGACAGAAGAATTTGTTTTTAAAAGTAAGTTTAGCAACTTAGCTGATGAAACTCATGCTGCAATAAGATGTTAAATAAAAAAAATGCAACTACAGGTACTGATACTGGAGCTAAACCCAAATTATGAATTCTTTTAAAAACTTATTTACAAGTACCGTTTTAACTGTGAAGTTATTCTCCCAGTAAAAAGACGGGTAAATACTTGTCACAACGTATTTTAAGTCCGACGGTAACCGGGGAGCGCGTGGTCATGCAAACTTARGTAAAGCCGACATCAGGCGAAGACTAGACCGTCTCGTTTCACAACAGTTTTGAGCAGCCTACCCGGCCCAGGGAGGATGTGGCCCAGCTGGGCTACGTGCTCATGAGGACCCAGCCCATGAARTGAGACAGTCTYTAAATGTCACGTAACCCTTTATATGCATGACCAGGTGTTAAATTAAACAAATCTTTTTTTTTTAAACCTGTGCATCAAAGGTGCGCCCAGAGTGGCAAAGGTTGTCCGGGCTGCAGAGGATGAAACCGGGGAGGATCTCCTCTTCTTCTATTCCCTTCAGTCTCAGCTTRAGGTTCTCCCCGGGGCTCGCATCATCCGTCTCCACATCATCGCTGAGCAGGCTCAATACTTCTACGGTGTGCTGCCACGCACAGAAATACAAGGAAATGTTGTAAACAAACGTTGTAAACCCCTCTGTACAGAAACAGGATATYCTGCATGAGGCTCTTTGGAACCAAAATCAAATAGTCACAGTTTTAAGATCTTTTTTTTTCACACAGAAGCAGTAAACAAGAGACCTGTTCACTTCAAATTACTTAATAAAGTTTTTTTTCTTATGAGAAATCGAGCTGAGTCAGGGGAGCGCTCACCCTGTTTGGCATCATGACCAGTTGCTGAGCTTTACTGATAGAGCCAGACTCCAGTTTTCCAAGGATCACTGTGCCCATATCCTGCAAACACACAGGGAGAAACAGAGGACAACTGCTATAAATGTGTTACTTTTATTTTACATCTTATTCTGGACATAAAAACATGATTTTATAATTTAAAAGTATTTAGCAAAATTAAACTTGTTTCATCCACAACTTTTGTGGCACCATTAAACCAGACAGTATCCAACTATAGTCAGGTTATTAAAAACAGCAGTTATGGTTATGGTGAGTGGGGATGAATATAAAATCCATATGAGTGGAGGCCTCCTAAGTGGGCCCATTGCTCTCCCCAAAAAGACACTGGTCTTCATTCAAACCTTCTCGTCCCTTGTATGAAGGACACAATGTTAGAAACACTCAGTGTTC